GTCCTTGTAGCTGATAAATACTCTCATAAAGTCATAAAGTTGTCTGCTTCTGCCTGAGAATTTGCACTGAATAAGTGTTTGAGAAAATGTTTAGGCCTGAATCTGGGATTATTGATCATGCCAGCATGTCATTTAGATTTTCTGGAGGAAAATTAATTAGATTATTCGATAAAAGAGGCAATAGATTAATCATTAGAAAAATAGTCGTTGGTGGCAGCCCTTGTACTTTACGTGTGTGTACATCTTTCTATAATTGTGAGGACAAATTTAGTTAAAAACCATTATTGTGAGGTCATTTTGGCCAGTCCTGACAACTTCAAAGGGATTCATGAAGGTTAAGCTTAGGCAGTTTCTAACACCATGCACACACATACATTGACAGACAAACAAACCATATCTGGCTTTGGATATTAACTGTATAGGTGTCTCAACGAGTTAACAAGCTTTTTGGAGGCTCTATGGTAGATAGCTCTACTGCCGCACACAACAATACACATATGTACATTGACAGACACATAGAAGTGCACAAGTGCAGTTGCTGCCCAAACTTTAACACAAATGACTGTGATTGGCTAATTAGACTAATTAACTCAGGGCACTTTTTACTGTTGTCCATGTAGCGTTAACACCACAATTTAGAATTTCCTCTCACTGAAAGGGGGCACCAGTCCTCTGGGAGGACAACAATAAATTACTTCATTGAGTAATGTTATCAATCTCATATCAGAAGCGATTACTTCTTGATTCAATGGATCTCCAGTTTCTACTTCAAAAGAACACAACAGGACAACAACTGGGTGTAAATAAAGAAATTTATTTACTAAACTACTATCTACAGAGTAAATGCAATGTGTAATAATCATAAAGATCAAAATAATAATGAAATGAGCTGTGTGATGAGTTGGCAATGGTGGGAGAGACTATGTTATGGCTATACACTATGGCCATACGGCTAAAGATCACTACATCTACGAATGAGATTTAATGATTAAATATTGCTATATTTCGACAACAACCCAGTCATGAGCAGCAAGTTAAGACCGGCCTTTTGTGAGTTGCGCTGTAGCTCGAGACCCTTGGCTGGAACCCAGGTGGCTGAGGTTGCCATGGTAACCCTGGAGACGTGGGATTTAGATGGGATTCTCCTGGAGGCCGTGTCCCGTTATCACGGTGATGGATTCTGCCGGTGTCTCAGCTCTAGTGGAGTTTGCCAGGAGGCTTTCTGTCTTGGGCACTCTTGATTTCTGCTCGGCTTCTCTGCAGGCAGTCATGGGCAGATGTGTTATCTGCTGGCGTCTCTTGTGGGTTAATGCGAAAATAAAATCTAATGCACTTAACTTTGGCTGGATAACTTTAAAGGAGATTGGTGTTGACCAGACCAAAAGGAAAACGTGATAATATTTAAAAAGCTACAAAATTACTCTGGGGCATTTCTGTTCTTGTGGTTCAGTTGGTCTTGACTTGGTTTATAAAAACAGAAGATTACTTCAAGCATGTGGCAAAGAAATGATGAAGTGCAACATGGCTAAGAGCCGTGGCTAAAAGTCTGTGGCTAAGAGCCATGAGTTTTTGTGGCTGGGAGCTTAGAGCTAAAGGCTACAGAGCTAACAGAGCAATGTGTGAATTGATCACAACTGTTTTATCCCCTGGGGGCTGGTGCACGTTTCAGGGGCGTTACCCATCTTCTCCTGTGTTTCAACTTGGAGAACAGAGTAGTTTTCCACAGAAATCTTAAATAGTTTAATTCTAGAGTTTACCTATAAACTCACACATCCATCTTCCACCATGAGCATAAAACATAAAATGAAACAACATATAAACCTAATGGCACTAATAATGACAGACAGGAATAATATAAGTGTGGATTTCATAGTACATCCTTCAAACCTTGTAACCTTCTAATCAGAATACAAGTGGTTAACTGACCAAACAACATAATAAACATTTCCTAAAGCTAATAGTCTATTAATGTGGATTACACAGCAGTTCTTTGACTGTAACAGTAATAATATGGACATTCTGGATGTCATGTGGTGTGTGTTACCTTATGTGAAGCCTGCTGACAGTATGGTCGCATGAAAGACATTGTCTTATAATCTACATGCTACATTTCAACCATTCTATAGGATAGAAGTTTGGGATTCACCTATCGCATAGAATCATCTCATGAGTTACGGAACATATATTGAATTATATATTCTTCCTCAGATCTGTGTCTGTGAAGAGTGTTATGCTGGTCACTACTCAGGATTGAAATGTGAGTTGTAATTTATGACTTTTATCTAAAGAGGGACAGAGGAAGGGAGGTCGGTGTGTGTGTGTGTGTGTGTGTGTGTGTATTCATGCATGGCACAGAGAGGCCAGGATTCACACCTTAGTGATAATCAGTCATTTTGTTGTTACTTTTCCTATATAAGAAACAATCAAATAGCAGTAGACAGAGTCTTATTGTTACAAGCTGGAGATTTTGCCTATGCTCTCCAGTTTGCCTGGTATCCATTTGTTGATCCTTTGGAGCTGACCTTTTGACCCTTGTTTTGGTGGTGTATCTCTCTGACATGCCGGGAGCATGGTTTGTTTGTGAGAGAGGGATCCTTTGTCTCTGTTTCCTATCAATTTGATAGTATGATGGTTGGAAGTGTAACATAGTGTCAATTTTGGGCCCATAACTCTGCATATCCTTACAATGAACTTCTTCAATGGCTTGTGACTGATGACAGGCCAGGTATGTCCGCTACATCCATGTTGTTCTGTTCAAGCTGGAGAAATCACAGTAACTTTATTGCAGATCAACTTCTGTTGGGGCATGTACATGTGTGTATATATGTCTTGCTATGGTTGTGGGGACAAATTTAGGTTCAAAACCATAATTGTGAGGTCACTTTGGCCAGTCCTTGCAGTTTCAAAGAGCTTTTTGAGGAATACCTGCAGTGACTGAGGTCAGCTAGCATAATTCTCTACAATATGAATGAAACTCAAAGTAACGTCCTCTGTGGAGATTGAAATGTGTGTGATGAATATGCACCAAGCAGCAGGCACATTCAAAATTCCTTCAGGAATTTTCTACTTTTATTTATAACTCTGTTTTCCTTATGTTGCAGTCTAGCCCCACATTGTTTATTTTTGGCTTGTTCATTTAACATTTGACTGGATTTATAAATCATTTCTACACCAACTCCCTTGCCACTTGTTCAGTGGAGACCGGCCTTTAATTTCATGTATTGTAAATACATTTATATTTTGGTACAGTGGTCTCTGGTTCCAGTTAATTATAGGTGTATGAAGTATCACCAGGTCACACACTGATCTGCTGCATGACCAATTGTCTGTCACTTAAAGCATCTCATGCTTTGTCTTTAACAAACTCATGCATCCAATAATCACCTTTTCTGACATCTGGCTCTAACTGAAAGAGAACTGACAAGTTATCCATAAGTTTATCCTGATATCTAGTTTGAGGGTGGTTTGCCACAGTCACCTTTGATTTCTGTCTTGAGTTCTTCTAGATAAATCCGTAATGTAACTCCATTTATCACACCATGTCTTTTGTTATTTGCCCTGGGAATAATTCAGACTCCATTCAGTGTCTTCATCTTCAGTATCCTATCTTGTTGAACGACATTACCTGCATTTAACATCAGTCTGTCTTTAACCAAAAACCTTGCTGGTTTAATTTCTTGATGCACAGCCTTTGTGAATTTCACTGAATATAATTTGTTACTGGAATGTTTTCCAAACTCGATGATCACTTTCCACTTTTCACTCTCATGTCCTTTCCTTGCTGAATTCTTCTTCCTAGACTTCTTCCATTTTACCTCAGTCCATTCTGTTTGATTGTCTACTGATTGAATAGGCATAGATTCACCACTTCCATTTTCAAAGGTTGCCCTAAGGCGCCATTTTCCTCAACCATCAAAACGACCCACCTCACCCTCAGGTGCAACTCCTGGTGGCTCATGAGCCAAAGCCGCCACCTGTGTCCAGACTCCTTTCATTGACAGAAATATTCCCAAACAATGAAGTCACAGGCCTACACAATGAATGTTTTCCCTTTACATCTTCAAAAAGGAGATTGAGTTCTTCTTCTGTTTATCTAAATTTTGTACTTATTCAGATAAGTTTTATAGTTGTAATGTTTTGGTCCATATCACATTCACAAATTAGCCTATAGATTACTCAAACATTGCCTTGTTATGAACTTGAGAAACAAACTGTGGACAAAGATCATTGTCAGTTGGTTTAATTTTGTACATTTATAATTTTGTTTTGTTTTTGTCTTGTAATGTTATTGTTGATTTAATTGAGTGTAAATTTTAAACATTTAACACTCACTTGGTCTGATGAAATAATGAAGAACACCTGCATTTGCATTGATGACCCTTTTCTGGCACTGTTTGGGCCATTGTGTCTTGACAATTTGAATTAAAGACATTCAGTTATCAACTATAAAACATTACAGCTATAATCTGCACTGCTCCCCCTCAGACAGAACACATCAAGTAAAACTGAGGAAGGAATCAAACAATGCTGATAGCAACATGAAACTTCTGGCCCATGTACTTCCACATGTGGCTGTTATCCTCTGGTATTGTCTGACAGGCGGAAGATTTTCCCTGGGACCAGGCCTACCGTGCCAGAAGAAAACAAGCATGTGACCAAAGTATGGGCTGGATTCATTTTGCTATATTTATTTTATCAAATTTGACTTGACTGAGTGACTCTGCCACAATGGTTCACATTTGAAAACAGTTGCCAGTTCGCCTTCACAGCTTCAGATTTAGAGTGCTACTTTTCAGCCTAAAAATAAACTGTCGACGTTTTCAAGCCGTAGGCTACTCTTCCGCAGAAATCACCACAATCCCGTTTTTTTCCTAATTATCTGGCAGACAGGCAGGTAGGGCAGAACTCGGCACAACATCGGACCGCACCCGACGACACATCGTCCCTTTATACGCAGGCGCCGAGACGGAATTTCCGGGTACGACATGTAATATAAATAGGCTGCCGTAGTACTCGGGCGTCGGTAGAAAATACGAAACCAATGATTCCCATATGTCCTGTAGTCTCCTTCACCTATGGTAAGTACCGTTAAACATGTGGAGATTATTTCACAGTCAGATAGAAAAGACATGAACTGCTCTCTCAGCGTAGAAGTAACAGTAAGACAGTGAGGTTAATGGACAGTCCTAGGACCGCTGCTTTTAGCCCTCTGCTAACGGTTAGCTTAGCCTTATCCTGTATGTCTGTCCTCTGCAGTGCCCAGCCGGCTTGGTGAAGATGCCAAAATGGCTACGGGCAATTACTTTGGATTTACCCACGGCGCTGCCGCCCAGTACAGGTAAGTGGACCCCTATGTACTCGGCTCTTTAGCCACAGCATGCTGCATAATGTTGTCGAGCTCAGACGTCAGCTGAGTTTGTAGGTTGTGCAGGTTATCAAGGCTGCCTCCATTGTTCAGGCTGGGGGAGGGGGCGGTTATCTTTCTGCTGCGGCAGTTGGGTGTCAACGGGAGTAGAGTGAAAATGGCCTTGCGTTTATAAACGAAAGAGGCCGCGTTGGTTCATCTTAGTTGTCAGAAAACACAGTGATCTTTATATATCTGAAGACTACTTTAAAAGCTGCAGCGTCACTGTAGGTCTGAACTCTGGCTAATAGACAGCTCTGCTACGAGTAAAGGCCAGGTTATACTACTGAGAGGTTTATATGTAGTGTAGTGCACTAACCCTCGACCAGGACAGACGGCAAAGAGCAACCATGCTTGAAGGTAGGGTGGAAAACTAACAGTTATCGTGGTGTTGGTGTGTGTGTGTGTGTGTGTGTGTGTGTGTGTGTGTGTGTGTGTGTGTGTGTGTGTGTGTGTGTGTGTGTGGCAAGATGCATTTGACATATGGGGATAACTGTTCACATTTAAATTGTTGTGCTCATTCACAAACAGTTTTGTGAAGAATGGAAAACCATTGCTTGAGGAATGAGTTAAAGTCCTGTTTACTTTCTCAACTCCACATGCTTGTCCAATTACTGTGCTGATGCTCTCTGTTTTGGCCTGTGACATCATCAGCACAATTTCTGCAACCAGGCAGTCAAACACCTGGTATTCAATGGCTGTTTCTAGTTTAGTCTAAAATAATTTACAACTATTACAACCCTAACCCTTTTTCACAGACACCCTGACCACACTCGTACAGTTACACACATTTCAGCTCTCCCTAATTACATTTAACTCTGTAAGCAAACTGACTGACCAAAATTTAATTCAGCTGTTGTGTAGTTTGTGTGCTTTCAGCAAGGCTGTTGTGTTTGTGTGCTCTCTGCAAGCCAGGGTTTGGACTTTGCCAGACAAAAGAAATTACCGTAACATCACTGTACTGTAATTGTGACTGGACTAATAAGTCTTCACACTGCTCCAGTTCAACTGTCATTCATTTCAGGTCAGCAACATAATAGTTTTGACTAGCATCTCCAATAAGAATCATTTCTTGAAGAATACGAGACAATTTGTCAGATACATATTCAATCAATATTAGATGTCTTTTTGCTCCTTTGTAAATTATTTTTTACTGTGTGCACTGAACATCTCTCTCATTAATTTTGGATCCCCTCTTCCTAGGGTCTTTTTTTTTGACTCTTTTTTTGTCAATCATAGGACTATGGGATTTATTTGGTGTGTGTGTGTGTATGTATGTATATATATATATATATATAAATAATATATATATTATATATATATATATATATATATATATAATTATATATATATATATATATAATGTATCTGTGTGTAAATAAAATGCACAAGTAGCCGTTCAGGCTGAAAACAGCTGTATTTAAAAAAAAAAAAAAAAAAGGTACAAGTTATAGGTACAGGTGAGATACTGAAATACTCAAACTGGACTTTCAGCATTGTAAGTGATCCACAAGTTTGAAGGCTTATAAGACAGTAAAACGGTGCAAAGTGGTTTGTAGTATTACGGGACAGGACTTAAATTAACTCTGGAAAGTTGTGGTGGCACTCCTTTTATCTTGATTTTCTTGTAAACGATAGAAACCGAGTTCAGAGTATTAATCATTTTGTGTGGCGTTGGAATTGTTCCACGTAGCACAAGTACTGTAGGTGAGACCATGAGAAAGAGCTGGTACAGAGAAAAAGAGACTGAATGTGATATGGAATACAACTGACTGTAAGGAAAATACTGTCTAGATAAAGCCATAAACGCAGCTGGATGTCCACTGTGAGCTACAGCTGGTCAGAAGACAACTCCCCCCTTAAGCATCAAGGAAGGTTCTTTGAGTCTTGTTTCCAAAGCGGTTCAATATTGTTGTGGAGTTGATCTGAGGTTGACTACAACTCACCCCTAGAACTGTATAGGACTCTCCACTGTGCTTCCCCACCACAATAAAAGGCCCCTGAAGCAGAAACCCTGCTGGACCCTAAAAGTGATAGTTCAGGTTATTAGACGTGAGGTTGTGAGTTCTGTTTAAATGTACAGTAGCTTCATGTAGAATATTTTCAGCTTTTTATCTTCCTGTCAACAAAGTGAAGTTCAGCTCTTTCTGTTTCACTCAGCTGACCTGTGGCTGCAGTGTAATTCCGTTTGAGCTGTAGGTGCGCTTGTGTGTAGGAATATGGTAGTTCAGTGGTTCAGAAAAATGTACTGCCAAAGGAAAGAGCTGTGCTGAAGATAAAGAGCTGAAAATATTCTACATGAAGCTACATTTAAACAGATTGGATTGTTTCAGTGGGCGTTTCAGCACATCACTCTGATTAGGGCTGGGCGTTAAAACGATAAAGATAATTATCACAAAATAACTTTTCCTCGATAGAAATATAACACATGGTCGATACAACGTCGATAGAACTCATTCATCCTTGTTTTGATAGACAACACGAACAACCACTGATAATGAGAATAGCGCTGCACCGAACAAATCAAGTGGCTGGAATAGAGTTATTCCAGGTTAGGTTGATGCACACAGCACAGAGCATTGGTGGAGTAGCAGCCGATGCCGGCAACGCGCTAATGGGCTATTGCAGCCGTGCCCACCAGTACGTCAGGAGTGGGAGAGACATAAAAGAGAAAATGACAGCAGAAAATGTTAACGAAAACTCAGGAGACAGCGTTAAGACACCCCAAAGGACACAGCCCAAGGCTCATAAGACGAGGACATCATTGAAAAGAAGGGTCAGAGGAATTTGTTAGTGTGGAGATACTTTGGCTACTTAAAGTCCAAAGAAAAGCAGAGTAGCGTGCACTGCAAATTGTGTCAAAAGCATGTTTCCACAAAGACAGGTAATACCACTAATCTTTTTTACCATCTGAGGCAGTGCCATCCTCTAGCATACGCACAATGCAAGACTTTACAGTCCCAGACGAAGCTTTTGATGGTCAGTTAAGATTTTAGTTGTTATAGGTGTTTGTTATGATATATACCTATTTTAATTATTTGAAATGCAGTTGTATAATGTTCTTCAGTATATTTGTATTTATGTTCAACTTCTGACAGAAAAAAAATATTTAAACCAAAATAAACCTTATATCTTCAAATCTGACTTAGGAGTAAAAAGGAACCTTAAAGCTTGACAGAAATTATTATATTTATATTGATATCGACTGATATGAAAAACTTTATCGTGAAAAGATTTTTTTCCATATCGCCCAGCTGTTACTCTGATGGTACACCGGTGACCCTGCTGCCTCTCCTAACCTAGTCTGCACACTGACTGTACATGACTACCTCACACAACCCCACGTCTAATAACCACAACTATCACGCCTCATCACAGCTTTGTGTGTGATTTTTATTAATTTAATTTAATTCTTTTAGATAACATGACATCAGAATCAAAATCAGTGGCACGACATGTAACACAACAGCATCATGTGTTCATACCTATCTAGAATGGCGAGGGGGAATAAAGGCGTACTATTCCCACCTTGAACAGGTTGTGTAAAAGGGGCTTGAGATGGCTTGTTTCAGAAGCAAGTCTTTTACAGATTTTTTTTTTTTTTTTTTTTTTTTTTTTAAACCCACAAAATTCTTTATGCATATATCCACCAGTGGGTGCGCAGACCTTGCACAGTTCGTCTTTCAGGGTTGATACAGCACTGTTGAGTTGACTGAGTGATCAGCGTTGACTGACATATGTTGACTAGCCAACTGTATTGTGCAGAGCGATTCCAAAGACATTGATCAGTAAGAAGTAGAAATGCACCATTCAATTGGCTGGCAATCTGAAAATGCCAGTTTCAGCATGGTTTCTATGATCAGTGACAGGCTGATCACTCGCAGATATCAGTCTGTCAGTCAAATTTGCCTTCATGCACCACATGAGAGACACACACACACACACACACACACACACACACACACACACACACACACACACACACACACACACACACACACACACACAGAGGTTCAAACTGGAGTCACACTGCTGACCTCAACTGTGCATGATGGCTACCTGCAGAACTGCTGCTGTATCTCCACACCACCAGGATCTTTGATAATGACATCACTGATAATCGTTGATGGATGAAGAAGAGTTGTATTTAGTTGTCAGTAGTCCATGTTTTATTATGATCGGTTGGAGTTCTTAGACAATTCGACTCCACAGGTCAGACTTTTACAAAATCACACAGGAAAATTGCAGTGGTAAGAAGCTGGAGATCCACCCTCTCTCCCTTGTGGCAGCCTAAACAGACAATACTTATAGTGTATTAAACATGACCAAGTAGTAAACCTGCCATGTATGTGCGCTCACATGTACTTATGTGTTTCTGCTGCACAACACATTAAAGTGAGGTTGCAAGCTTGTGTGAAAGTGCGCACACTTGCAAAACAGAGTTTGCAGGTAGAAAACAAAGTCTATAAGACTAAATGTACAGATACAAACTTCAATGCACACAATTGCCAAACAACAGATACAACTTCATGTTTCTGAATGATATAATACTCCATTGTGGTTCAGCCCAGTTGTTTTTCTGTGCCACATGACGGAGAAATAGAAAACCGTAATAATGACCTTTTTAAAATATGAATTGCTAGGTGGGTAACGTTGGACGAGCAGTGTTAGAGCTCCATGAATTTGGTGCCTCAAGGTCACGGTGACCTCACAAAACCCTTTTTTTCCCCACACAGATGGTTAGTATTTATGGATAAACAGGGAAGAGGCAGAAAACCACGAGGCAGTGATTCTAGTTTTCCCTGTGACTCATCAATAGATCAAAACTTGCCCAACCAAGACTCTTATCACCAACTAGTGTTTGGTTGACTCTTGGGGGACTCCTAAGAGTTTTTTTTTTTTTTTTTTTTTTTCTTTCCTGTGTCTGTTTATTCTGTGTTGGTTACTACCTCGTGTTCTCTTGCTTGTTTTCTCCCTTTGACTGTGTTCTTGTGTCCTACAACTTAAAACCATTCTTCAATAAAAATACTTGACAAAAATGTTAGCACTTGGGAGCAGTTTAGATTTAATAACTAAATAATTTGCTTTGTAAGTCAAAGGGAAAGTGTAAGTACTGTGTATGCCTCCAGCCAAGGACTACATTATGCATGCTGAGCTTCACTAGTAAACAAGCTGGTCAGTCAACACACACTGCATCACTTTGTTGTTCCAAACAACTCTGCTCAGGTTGAGAAAATGAATGTCCATGGTCTGTTTGATTTCAGAAGCTCTGTGTCTATAAAGTATTGCAGGTTGATGAGTTTCACTGGTACTAAGGTTGAATCAATAAGTGATGTTGGTCTTCAAATGGGTTTCATTGAACTGTGTGTGTCTAGTACACAAGCAATAGAAATGACAACAACAGGTTGTGAACAGCTTTGACATTTCTCTTCTGTGTTGCTCTACCAGTCAGCAGCCAGCTGCCGGGGTAGCGTACACACATCCCACCACAGTGGCCAGTTACACAGTTCATCAAGCTCCTGTGGCGGCACACACCGTGGCAGCAGCCTACGCTCCCACTGCAGCCACTGTAGCTGTAGCTAGGCCGGCGCCTGTTGCTGTGGCGGCTGCTACTGCTGCAGCTTATGGAGGGTACCAGCCAACCCACGCTGCCACTGAGTACGGCTACCCTCAACGTCAGCCTGAAGTCCCTCCACCACCACCGCCGGTCACGTCACAGAACTACCAGGTAGAGAAACTTTTAACTGGATTTGTATATCGTCTTTATAAACTCTGGAGGACCACAGGTGACGTGTAAAATGTTTATACAGATTTTAACCATTTATAATTGGATTTTTTTGAATGAATCTTGTTCATTAATTGATATTTAAATTGGATAATACAAGTAAAAGATTTGAAAATGGACTCTATACCTAAAAGAAAAAAAAAACTTTAAGTCAGTTGGAAAGGTTATTAATTTTTTCACTTGTATTTCCATCTGTCATCTGCTTTTTCATTTTCTGCCTTAATATGAAATTTACACCAGTCTCGACCTGTGAAGACTGATGTGCATCGCTTGAATTTGTTTTACCAGCGCGAGGCTCAAAGAGTCGTTCAAATAAGCATACAAAACACACCTGACACAACAGCTGATGAGCTACGAGCTAGTCGGTTGACATCTGTACATTTCTTTGTATGTGACAGACTTTCACTGCAAGTGTCCAGAGATCGCTCGTGTTTCCATCCTTACATGAAAAAGACTGACATGGGGCCAAACTTGTCATTTTACATTTCACATGTCAAATAATGGGTTCATGACTAAATATTATATATAATATATAATATAAATCCCAAAGCGATTCTAATGTAAAGCAACCAATATTGTTTCCTTACCCTTTCGTGGTATTTTGAGTCTATCCATACAATTTCCAGTCAGTTGGCTGAGATGGGGGCCTGGATAGCAGAGACTGAGCCCCAAACCTCAATTTTATACAGTCTTTTGTTGCCATCTAGCGCACAATTGGTGGTACTGCCGTTTTAAAATCACAGCACTGTTGTTTTCTACATCTCAGCAGGTTTCGAACGGTATGTCACACTCCTGTGAGACTTGCTTCCTTGCAATACTAGACCCAGGTGACACAAGGCCAATTCAACTTTTATTGTATTTTGAACTTTGTTTAAAATATGTTTCATGTTTATTTTTCACTTTAACAATGTCTATGAAGTAGAATCATCATAATATAACAATTTAGATGCCCTGGAAGAGATTCAGAGGCAAAATGGAGACAAAATTACACAATTTAGTTTTTTTACACACAATGGTTGTGCACAATGGTAGAATCTGATGATGCACAGGGTAAATGAAGTGACTAGGGGTTGTATTGTGTCTACATAGCCTCCTGTAGTGGAAATCATCAGTATTTTGTAGTCAGATTTCCTTTTTCAAGAGGTAAAAAAAACCCTTTGGCACACATTGGGTACCTTGGCTATCCAAGTGTCCAAATGGAGAGTCAGCCTGGCCCCATCCCTACTTAAACCTTTGTAGAATTTGTGTGCTTTATGGCATTTCTACCTTCATTGTTACAGTTGTAGTCATGAAGTTGATGAATGAAATCAGTGGCATCCCAGTGCATGGGACCATTGCGTTCATGGTGTTATCCACTGTCTAATTTAAAATGAATACTAGGTGAGGAAATTCTGTTTTTTAATTTTTTCTTTGGTCTGTCACAATTTACTCAGCTATAGTAGCAGTCACAATGTTACTGACACATGGAATAAATTATCTCAGGTCTTACCTATCCATAGTGACCAAGCTCTTACATATGGATGTGATAGTTGTGGAGCTATTCTTGATCTATTTTGGGTATGTCTGTCTAGATGAGGCATACTCCCCCAACTTCCTTAGGGCTTAACAGGTTCAAACTTTACTCACACTCCTTACTTGTCTCACTAAGTGTAACTCTTTGGTTAAAAAATAATGAATCAGGAAAATCATGTTTAGGTGGTGGAATAATTACTTGTACTCTGAAGGTCACATGATCTTCAGCATAATAACATTTCAATAACATTTGAGCTGTGAGCCTAATGTATTTAAATCAAATACTGGTCAGTGGATGGTAATTTATTTACTTTACAGTTTCCTTTGATTTAAAACTGATATGTCTTTTCCCAAGCCTTTAACATGTGGACAGTCGGAGCCGGGGATTGAACCGCCGACCCTGTAACTCTACCACTTTTGTCCTTTTGCAGGACTCCTACTCCTATGTCCGGTCCACAGCTCCCGCTGTTGCCTATGACAGTAAGCAGTATTACCAACAGCCCACTGCTACAGCCGCTGTCGCTGCCGCACAGCCACAACCCAGCGTGGCAGACTCCTACTACCAGACAGGTAAGTACACTCAGCTAATGGTTCTCCTAATAATAAACTGACCGCTGAAAGTAATGCAGTTTAATACAACAGTCCCCCCATGAAGGTTATAATGTTCAGTTTTTGTTGAAACTGTGTCAAAAGTTTATTCAACTGGAGGTTATTATGCGAGGTGTATTAACAGGTTTTCAATAAATTGTTTAATAACTTTGAGGGGCATTAATCACTGTTATCATATTCACTGCAGTCCTATTGGACATAGTATTCCAGGATTGGAAATGAAAATGATGATTGACATTACAGCACTGACTTTTCACTTTAATTTGAGGTAGTTAACATCCACATCACATAACTGTGTTACAGTTCTCAAAAAAGTGGGATCCAAAGTAGGGCTGAACAATAAATAAAATAAAATAAAAAATTGCCTATTATCAATCTGGCCAAGTGTTATATCCAAATCGCAGGAGCTGCCTTTTCTTTTCTTTTTTTTTTTTCTTTTTTTTTTTTTTTTAAAGGTAAAATGTCGAAACATATCATTATCAATGATGTATGTCACTTTGTGTCTTGTAGCCCCCAAACCAGGATATAGCCAGGGGGTAACATCATACACTCAGAGCCAGCAGACTCGACAGGTGACGGTGATAAAACCAGCTGCTCCCAGTCCAGCGTCATCCACCTTCTCCATCTACCCGGTGACCTCCACGGTCCAGCCTGTAGCTGCTGCCGCCTCTGTGGTCCCCTCCTACTCCCAAAGTCCAACCTACAGCACAAACGCTGTCACCTACTCTGGTGAGTTGCATTTGAACTGCCTGTCGATATTCTGTTGTTTGTGGTTTCTTGAGTGTGTAGCCAGATCAGTACATCTACCATGAATTTTCTTTTAGTTTTATTTTTTTTTTTTTTTTAGGATTTTGAAGTTGTATTTTCTAATTGAAAAAGTTTGGTACTGTGCTGCTGGATAAAAGGAGAATCAGGTCTGGTACTAGCTTGTTTATATAGATTGTAAACAGTCACACATCCTGTTCTATGGTCACTGACCTGCACAAGCTTGATAAAGAGCTTTATCAGGCATTATAACATTTAGCATCTATACCTGATTGTAATCATTTGAAAACTGAGAAGGTTGTAACTTTAGCAGTCGGAGGCTTCCTGAAAATCTATGATCTAAAATTAGGCTTCCCTTCTCATTCTAGCATGAACTATACAAGATAAAGAATATATTGTGGTTAATACAGACTCCATTTTGTTCGACCAACTGAACAAATGTTTCTAAATAACAAATACAGAGTTTATGAACACAACTGAGAAGACATATCCCCCTATAATTCCCTTTTTAATTTTAGGATCATTATTTTTGGATGTGGGGATTGCTTTATGCACTTAAGCCACACAGAGGGAACCAGGTTTTTCAAAACAAAGGGAGAAAAGATGACTTAAAACTAGAAATAAACTGGGTAGTTTCGAGAGTTCATTGGGCAGGTTATCATCACCAACAGCTTTTCTCAGTTCAAGTCTGTCAGTTTCCCTTTTAACTTCCTGTTTAGTCATACTAACATTTAAGTTCTGCTTAAAAGAATAAGCTGCATGTTGGCCTCCATAATATTTTTAAGATCAGCTGTCCCTGCAAAAAAAACAATCTTCCCGCTCAGCTGGGCAGCAGTAAAACTGTACTCAGATAAAAGTACAAAGGTAAGACAACAGTGAGTAGATTTTAAGTAGCCATTCATTTATCCTTCCTGTCAGGAACTTCATACTCGGGCTACGAAGCAGCTGTTTACTCAGCAGCCTCCAGCTACTACCAGCAGCAGCAGCAGCAAAAACAGGCCGTGGCAGCTGTAGCAGCAACGGCAGCATGGACGGGGAACTCCTTCACCAAGAAACCCCCTTTTCAGAGTAAACAGCTTAGACCCAAGCAGCCGCCCAAACCCCCCCAGATCCACTACTGTGACGTCTGTAAGATCAGCTGTGCCGGCCCCCAGGTGAGTCCAGAGTGCTCAGCAGGAAGCACAAATGTTTTTCATGTGAAAGGTTTGACATTGTGAGATGAACTGTGGCTTTAACATGTCCATGCAGATGGACTGTGAAGATGATCCTCTCACGTCTAACACACAAACCTCATCACCCTCTCAAATACTGACTGAGCCACTGGATCCATCCCATCTTATTGCTTCAATTGCTGTTGGTCAATACATTCATTCATGTCCCAAATGGATATTATCAGTCACTGCAGCTACTCTCTGTCTCCCTCTGAAGACTTACAAGGAGCATCTGGAAGGGCAGAAGCACAAGAAGAAGGAGGCAGCTCTGAAGGTTTCCCAGAGCAGCAGCAGTAGTGGTACTGGTGGAGGGGTGTTAGCCCGCAATGCTCAGAACCAGCTCCGCTGTGAACTGTGCGATGTTTCCTGCACTGGCGCCGACGCCTATGCTGCCCATATCCGTGGAGCCAAGCACCAGAAGGTATGGGCATAAGTTAGGGGCTCAGGGTGGTGCTAACCCCTGCTAACCTAAATCACTTTGAATCTAACAGGCAGTACAACAAGATTTCATTTTTGTGTCTGTGCCAAAAACTACTTTATAATAATTGTTGCCAAAATTTCTCAGTTGCAAAACATGGGGTGCAGCTCCATCCACTCTAACACTTACAGACTGGTATACGTTGCTCACTAACTGAACCTGCATGTTTGGTCTTTAGAGGGAAACTGGAACACCTACAGAAACCGACACAGATGTCTTAAAGTGTTGGTTGTGGTTATTTGACGTGGGGGTGTGTGAGGAACTGATGTATACTTTAGTGCGTTATCTGCAGTAGATTCAGATCAGTATGCTATGTGCAAAAAACATGCCCACAGTAAAAGTGTGGCTTAATTTTAATATTTTCACCACTTCATCTTCAAACAGCCCTTCACTTTGGAATGCATAAGCACACCTACAGCGTGCACTGTATTACTCCACAAATCAGCTGTTTGAGTGAGACAGATGAGCGTGCACAGGAACATGGTAGTTCAATGGTTTAGAAAAAGTAGTTCCACGGTATAAGACTGTTTGACATCAGATAAAGATGTGAAAATATTAGAAATAAATTGTATGCTTCGACTGATAAAAAACTGAGCTTTTTTTTCATTTTTTTTTTTTTATTTTTATTTTTTTTGCTGATGTCCCTGTCCACAGCAGCTCATCACTCAGCTTCTCTGAATCTACTGCAGCTAACTGATAGATCAGTACCTCACACAACCCATGTAAATAACATGAATTATCACACTCTACGGAAGAGGGGTTAAACTGATTTTTTTTTTTTTTCTTTTTTTTTATAAAATAATTTAAAAATAAGGAAAAAAACTTTCCTTTTTAAGAGGTAAATAAATGAAATTGTTGGGAATCATTAGTCTAATGTGCTGTCAATGTTACATGGAAACCTCAGACCTACTACACACTTGCTCTTTGCTCTGAACTTTCCTCTCCAGGTTGTGAAGCTTCATACCAAACTTGGTAAACCCATTCCGTCTACTGAGCCCAGCATGATCACTCAGGCATCGTCCTCCACCACTGCTGCCACCAGCAAAACCACCACAGCCACCCCGAGCAGCTCCAGCACCACCAGTTCCCTCTGCGTGGCCACCTCCTCCTCCCCTGCCAACAGCTCCAGCCCCCCCTACCTGAAACCTGTCAACATTGTCAGCAGTGGTGCTGTGGGCGGCAAGAACCCGTTAGCCAGTAACCTCTCTGCTGCCAGCTCCGGCTCAGCTGGGAAGAAAGTCAACACGCCCAAGATCAATTTTGTTGGTTAGTAAACACTTGTTGCGGGTGCAGCACATTTGAGTCATTGTTACTGTCAATGTTTGAACAAATGGTTTAATCCTGTTCTTCTGATCAGAAACCAGCAGGCTTTAGTAAGTGTGGTGCAGATGGTCAGAAACCACTTACTAGGGCTTGGCATATTTTTGATTCACTCACTCACTCACTCACTCACTCACTCACTCACTCACTCACTCACTCACTCACTCACTCACTCACTCACTCACACACACACACACACACACACACCCTGTGTGTGAGGGGCGGGGCAGCGCTCTCACACACTGGAGCACTGCAAAAAACACACACATCCAGTGAAAGTTTGTCACACACAGACAGAGAAATGTTCAGATGTTGACCGACTAGCTTGTAGCTCATCCGTCAGGTGTGTCTTGTAGTTGCAGCCTGGAGCACAGAGTTAACTACATTATAGAATGTGAGTTAGTGATGAAAACTGCCCATTATTCTGCTGATTGTCCTAGTTGTGTTCTTAAATTCAATCTGACCAGTCCAGTTTACTGTCCAGGGGCACACCTAGGTATTTAAAAGTATGCACTACCTCGATGTCCTTCCCTCTGGCTGAAGGGTGGGCGTAGACCTTTGAAAGTTGATGACCATCTCCTTGGTCTTGGAGGTGTTCAGAAGGAGGCAGTTCTTGTTGCTCCATTCACTGAAGGCCAATGTCAGTTCCCTGTACTCCCCTTCCTGCCCGTTCCTTATACACGCCACAATAGCTGTGTCATCCGAGTATTTCTGCATGTTGCAAGACCTGAATTGTATTTAAAGTCCGCCGTATATAGGGTGAACAGGAACGGAGCCAGAACAGTCCCCTGTGGAGCCCCAGTGCTGCTCATCACTGTCCCTGAGACATATTTACCCAGCCTGATGTACTGTGGTTGTCTTGTCAGGTAATCCACCCCCATCCCTTCCAGTTTGTCTTTAAGACTGGGGGGTTTGATGGTGTTAAATGCACTTGAAAAATCAAAGAACATAATTCTCATTTAACTACCTGGCTCATCCAAGTAAGAATGGGCCCGTAGGAGCATGTAAAGGGCAGCATCATCCACTCCAATATGTTCTTCGTAGGTGAACTGTAGGGGGTCAAGTGCATGTTCAACCTGTGGCCTCAGAAGGTGGAGAAGCAGCTGCTCCAGGGTCTTAATGATGTGTGATGTGAGGGCCACCGGTCTGTAGTCATTTATCTCAGCTGGTCGCCCTACTTTAGATACTGGAACAAGACATGATTTTTTTCCACAGGACCGGGACCATCCCTATTTGTAGGCTTAAGTTAAAGATCCTCTGGAGAGGCTCAACTAGCTGGGCTGCACAGTCCTTTAACAGCCTCTGACACACACCATCCGGACCTGTTGCCTTTCCAGGATATAGCCTCTTAAGCTCGGCCCTCACATCCTCCGCTGTAAAGGACAGGAGACTTGACCCCAGTTTGGAGGGAGTTGCAGCTGCAGTGTCAGGTTGTGATGAAGAGACCGTAGGAGAAGCTGTAGCTGAAGCAGTGGGAGAGAGAACAGGTGAAGCTGTGTCAAACCTGTTGTAGAACAGGTTGAACTCATTGTCCACATCACCTGATGTTGCCTGGCTGTTCTTCTCTTTATAGCCAGTGATGGTCCTCATCCCCTTCCCCACCTCTCTGGTATTGTTGTGCTGCACCTTCCTCTCTACTTTCCTTTTGTAGTCCTCCTTCGCCTGCTTTAATCTCCTCTTCAGCTCATGTTACACACACCTGAGCTTCTCCCTGTCTCCATCCCTGAAGGCCCCCTTTTTCTGGTTGAAGAGGGTGTTGATGTTACTGGTGATCCAGGGTTTGTTGTTTGGAAAGCAGTGTACACTTCTTGCTGGTATTACAGAAGTTAATGTAGTCCATGGTACATTCAACCATTCAAGGTCAGGGTCCTTGCTGTTATCATTTTCCTGTGACTCCAACAGTACATTCCAATCTGTGCACTCAAAACGGTCTTTTAGAGGCTCACTGGCCTCTGGGGTCCAGTTCCTGAATCAGCAGGTGGTTGCAGCCTGCCTCAGTACACAGGACTTGTAGGAAGGCTGAAGAAAAATCTGATTATGATTTGATCTGCCAAGTGGTGGTAGAGCTGAAGCAGTGTAGGCCTCCTTGACATTTGCATAAAACAGATCAAGTGTCTTATTTTCCCTTGTGGGACAGTCAACATACTGAGTGAAGCCAATCAGGTGAGGGTGACATAGTTAAAATCCCCCAATATAACAATGAATGCATCAGGGTGCTGGGTCTGTACTCTTACAACAGTCTTGTGAATGATGTCACACGTGACTGCAGGCTCTGATCCTGGTTGAATGTGAACAACAATGGCGACAATGTGTGAGAACTCCCTCTGTACTGCCAACAGTTCAATATTCCAACAGCAGATCTTCTCCTTCACTGTGATATGACCAGGGTTGCATCATCTATTGTTCACAAGCAGAACCAGTCCACCTTTATTATTCCCACTTGCCCTGGTGTCTCTGTCCACTCTTACTGCAGTGAAACCAGGTAAATCCACACAATGGTTGGGAGTGTTGTCGTTTAACCAGGTCTCTGTGAAACACATGAGACTAGACTCACGATATGTGAGTGTGTGTCACATATTGTGACAGTTTTACTCCCTAATATCCGCATCGGACCCAAAAACCCAATATCGGTTGGGCTCTAGCTCTGTCTCTTTACATAGTTTACAGGTTACTGAATGTTGGATTTCTTTTCATAATTAATTTGTCTATCATATTCAGATTCAGACATTGAAACTATAGTGGAAGGCATTTTTTTTTATGTAATGTTGCTGGTATGATGCCAGTATGACATCAACAGGTCTTTTCTGTGTCCATTTTTGCTGAAAGACGGCAAATCCCTAGGTCACACGACACAGCTGTGCATGTGTTCACTCTAACCTGTTAACATGGGCAGTGAAATGAAAACGAAGACATCCACAGCTGCCATGCACCACCATGCGGCCAGTGTGCTCCTGGCATATGATACTTGTCATGTCAGACATATTAACCGTGATGAAAATTTCTCCTCACAGAGCCATCTTAAAGCATTAAGTCTTTTTGTTATTAAGGACCAGTCAGACCAGTGTTTAACAGTCACAGTATGAATAATCTACATTGTTATTTCTGAAATGCAGGTGGAAATAAATTACAGACCACAGTGAAGATGGAAGACACCAGAGTGGAGACCAAAGTGGAGACTTCTAAACCTGCGACACTCTCTTCAGTTACTCAGGACTCCAAGGCTGAAGTGTCAGATTCTCTGTCCACATCGGCCCTGGCTGGACTGCAGAGTGACGTCCAGCCTGTCGGTCATGACTATGTTGAGGAAGTAAGTTCTCACAGACCCTAAGCATGGGCTTGAGCCTACCTAAACCTCTGAAGCAGAAACACATTTAGATCTTGAGAGTAATATGTGAATTTTATTTTAGGTCAGAAACGATGAAGGCAAAGTCATCCGCTTCCACTGCAAGCTGTGTGAATGTAGTTTCAATGATCCAAACGCAAAGGAAATGCATCTTAAAGGTCGAAGGCATCGCCTGCAATACAAGGTTTGTAGCTTGAGTTGAGTTGCACTGCTCCAACATAGTGTATTTATCAGGTGTCTCAGAGCATGAAATGTAGCAGCAGTTATATATGAAGAAGCTCTTAGAGTGTTGCAACTTTGACTGGTTGGTGGAGTAATACAACTTCAAGGCTGTAATTCTAGTTTTTATGTGTTTTGTTCTTTAGAAAAAGGTGAACCCAGATCTGCAGGTGGAGGTGAAGCCCAGCATCCGAGCCAGAAAGATTCAGGAGGAGAAGATGAGGAAGCAGATGCAGAAAGAGGAGTACTGGAGAAGAAGAGAGGAGGAGGAGCGCTGGAGGATGGAGATGCGGTATGGTTAGAGTCATTTCTCATCAATGGTTAAGGTAATGATGTATCTGAAAAAGTTGAACGTGGAGAGGAGCTGTGGTTTATGTTTTCAGGCGTTACGAAGAAGACATGTACTGGAGACGTATGGAAGAGGAGCAGCATCACTGGGACGACCGGCGTCGTTTGCCAGATGGAGGGTATCCACAGGGGCCTCCTGGCCCACCTGGTCTACTGGGAGTCCGGCCTGGAATGCCTGGCTTGCAGCCTCAAGGTCCTGTGGTAGGTCTTGATGATGGTGCCAATGCAGATATGTGGGGACCTTAAGTTTGTATCACTTCACATTTAACTTGAGGAAATTGTTTGGGTTTTCTAAGTCTTGCCCCCTTGTAACCCCACAAACTATTACTTTCCTACCAACCTTCATTACTTTCCTGGTTGATGACGTGTAAACCACACATCAGTGTCAATGTCATCAGAGTAGTTTGGCTTTGGCTTTGGTAATTTTTCTTTACTTTTTTCTAGAGTAGTCTGACTTCTTTGTGAGAAGGGGAGAGTCTTTTATTTATTTCTTCTTCCCCTGTCGTTATATTTTAGTTCAGGATTCCAGTTTGAAATGTTCAGTATATTATAAAAAGACATGAAATAGAATGAGTCTGTCATAATGTGTGTTTCTGCCACTTCTCTATCAAGGATTTATCTTCCTCATGCTCACAACAGAAACTATCTCTGTTTTGAGATACATAGATGCAAAATAAACATCAAATCTTCTAGGTACAGATAGAGAGAGTTAGCATTAGCACAACCACCTACATTGTGCCAGCCGCTGTCAGTTACAAGCTAACAAACAACATAAAAAAATAAAAACATGCTAACTCCGCTAACTGTTCTGATACGTCTGCTATTCTTGATTCTGGTCTCAACAGACTTCTCATCTGAGTCTGGGTCTGACTGAGGCTCAAACGTGTGGCTGAGTCTCTGATGTTTGCTCCTCTAACCATCTTGTTACCTTCTGCTCCTGAGGAAATGAGCATAGATGATGTTGCCCTTTTTTTTTTTTTTTTTTTTTTTTTTTTTTTTTTTTTATTTTAACTTTGTGGGGAAACCACCATTAATGATTAAATTAATAATGTTTGTTTTAAGCTTTAGTTGTGATGCACTTTATATCAACAAGACGTGTGGTGTGTAAATTATATCATCTTTGAGAAGTGTCGGAAACATCATAATCCATAACTCCTGTCTTTCAGCCCCCCCGTCGGCCTGACTCTTCAGATGATCGCTATGTCATGACCAAGCATGCGGCCATCTACCCCTCAGAAGACGAGCTCCAGTCTATCCAGAAGATTGTGTCGATCACAGAACGAGCCCTCAAACTGGTCTCGGACATAATCACAGATCAGGACAAGGCCAATGAAGAGGACAAAGAGAAAAAGGAATCCTGTAAAGACAGGTGTGTCATCTGGGCTGCTCTTACATTTCAAGTTGTCTACTGAACAGTTAGCAATAACGTTAGAACTGTTAGCGTTGACGTTAGAATTGTTAGCAGTGATGTTAGAACTGTTAGCAGTGATGTTAGAACTGTTAGCTGTGACGTTAGAACTGTTAGCTGTGACGTTAAAACTGTTAGCAATTACGTTAGAACTTTTAACAGTGATGTTGGAACAGTTAGCAGTGACATAAAAACTGTTAGCAGTGATGTTAGAATAGTTAGCAGGAATGTTAGGACAGTTAACAGGAACGTTTGGACAGTTAGCCTCTCTTTGCACAGAAATACACTTTCTTGTCCTCAAGCAAATACTCAACTCTGAAACAGAGTCCTGCAAAGATCCTGTTTTGCAAACCTTTCCTTGCCAGGTTAACTGCACAGCTGAGTACAGAACTGACAAATTACTGCCAGAACTGTAAAAACATGTTAACAAAAGAACCAGCTCTACATAAACAAATACATCTGCAACTAGGGAGAAATGGGACATTCAGTGTTTCTCATGCCTGTGTACATCATGAGTCACTAAATGCTCCATGATAGCAAATACAATCTCAACAGTACACTTTAGCAGGACAAGCTACGGTAGAGCCCAGTGTCACACACAAACATCAACATGCTTTTCTCCCAATCTGTAGATTTACACACAAAAAGAAAAAAATTACTACTTTAAAACACAGTTTACACATTTACATTACATGTGTTTTTAACTCAACTCCACATTTATGACCAAACACAGTGCCGAGTGAGTGCATACCTTCCTGAGAAACATTCTGAAACGAAAAGGGAGTAAACCCACTGGAGGTGCAGCAAGTGCAGTTTGGAAAATAAAATGCTTCCAGCAATAAACTCCAGCATTTACCTTATTAGGTAGGTGTCAGATAATTTAGAAAATGACACACCTCCATGTAAAATCAGCTCCTGCATTGTTTCCCTTTTGCTGTAGTTTCTGTGGTTGCCATGGTTACATGTAAGCTGCAGCAGAGTTGAAAAGGTTCAATCATAATGAGCTCCTTCTCCAGCTTCTATTTATGCAGCCATAGAGAGCGGGGAATGACAAGCAGCGGCAGTTGCTAGGTAGTACACTAAATTGGTTACTGTTGTACTTTTTTTTTTTTTTTTTTTTTTTTTTTTTTTTTTTAATACCTTTTTACGGACACAGGATCAGACATTACCAGGAAGAAAACAGAAAAGCAGTAGAAGGAAACAAATTAGGTTTTATTTGACACTATGAAAGTCTAAATGAGAAGGGCGTTTTCACAAAAGCTGGGACAATTCGTGTCCCGGGAAAGAATACAGTTGCTCAAAAAAGAATACCAGGAAAACCAGGAGGGGTGGTGGACCTACACAAGCTTAATCGCTCGATCACAATTGGACCAAAATGGAGACGTGAGACTTATTTGGAAGACAATTCAATGAATGTAATGAGTAATATTTACAAAATTTGCAGCCATTTATAAAGGTTTAAGCAGAACAATAATTTCATGATTTACATTTGTCATACTGTGAATTTTTTGTCTTCTGGTATCAGTATTTTTAAAAAATCATGGTCTCAGTTTCAGAATCATTAAACCCATAGTCATAGGTCTAATTCCTTCTTTTTTCAAGTAGGAATATACATTTTTTTTATTTATTTCAATAACGCAATGAAATTTTGTATTTGAATGTATTTAACAGTTCAGTATGATGGCATTTTAATTTGCTTTTACATATTTCCTCATCTTTCCTGTAACCGTGTAGAGCCCTGAAGGGAGTGATGAGGGTCGGAGTCCTAGCCAAAGGCCTCCTTCTTCGTGGAGACAAAAATGTCAACCTTGTCCTGCTCTGTTTGGAGAAGCCAACCAAGGGCCTCCTCACCCGCATTGTGGAGCACCTCCCCAAACAACTATCAGTACTATCTTTACTACTGTCACACCACAATTCATTTCTCCAGTGGCCACTTTAATTGGTAATGCCTCAGGCTCACTCAGACCTCTCTGCCTTTGGTTTAGTTGTTTTAGTTTGGCTATTATTAATGCAAATATTAAGAAAGAGGAAGTGAGTGTGGTGGAGTAGAATAGTTGCAACAATATGGGATGCTGATGGGGGGCCATCGAATGCATCAGGTGCCTTCATATATTTGACCCCTGCCACTCAGTCTGAGTCCACCACTTTCCACATGAACTAATAACTGTTCCTATCAAAGTGGCCACTGAGTGTAGATGACAACAACTGGGTGTGCACCATAGTTATCACTTTGAGAAAAGATTGCCAACTACTTGTATGTTCAGTGAACTTTGAAAAAATGTTTCTTCCAGATCGTAACACCAGAAAAATATGAGGTGAAGGGATCTGTCCAGGAAGCAGCCATCATTCTAACGTCCTGTACCGAGCCCAAGATGCAAGTGAAAATCACATTGACTTCACCTGTCATCAGAGAGGAAAATGGCCGGGATGGAGGTTGGGAAATCCATCACAGCCATTCCCATTGCACCTCTTTTCTTGTCTTTCTGCTCTCTCTCTATGAAATCAGTTTCAATATGTTGGTTGATACCCTGAAGAGCACTGTGCTGCTGGCACACCACAGAGATCCTTATGTTGGGCTTTGAATCAAAATCACTCTGGAACCTTGCACTTCATGTTTGATTCATTTCGGATTTATAAAATCAGAAATGACAGGGCAGCCAAGAAGTGCAAGCTCATTATATTTAATAACTTCAGTTGTGGTCTCTTTTTTTACTTGGATAATCTGCTGTTATTGGTCTAAAGTGGGAGCCCATGAGAGACCCCCAACTTAGCTTTTTTTCTCAGTGAATGCTCTCTCTAGTTATGTACACAAGTTGACTTTTAGTGTAAAATGAAAGAGGTTCGTGCCAGCAGTATTGCTCTCACGCTTTTTGCTCTGTAACTCTTACCTCTCAAATGCTATCTTTATCCTCTTAAACAAGCATGATCAGTGTTTGCATTGTGTTAAGTCTAGTTATTCCCAGGTGAGATTCTATTTTGTTTCCTGTGTTACAGGGGATTTTGTTTCCATTTTACTGTTGGCCACAATCAATGGGAGACTGCATTACAGTATCTTCTGTCCAAATTTTCTTTGAGATGAGGTGTCAAAATAAAAGACGACTCCTGCAGAGGAGGAACAACAGGATACGCTTCTGTTCCTCAAATTTAATTTGGAATTAATTGTGCAAAGACATTCTGAATTTTGCAACACTCTCTAAACCAAGATTTGGCTGAAAGCAGAGGAAATTGGATGTTATTTTCCCACAGGAAACAAATCTTCCTTTTGTGTCCTGGTGAACAGTTCACCATGCTGAGGTCCCCTGTTCTGAAGTGCTCCCCTGAGTTGATTGACATCTTCTTTACGCACATAGGACTCAAAATTGGCCTCTACAGGAGACATTTACTCTGATTCAGCCTTTGGCAAGTTTTTGTCATTTTGATTTCACTGACAGTAGAAAGATGGTGTCAGGCAATTTGAAGACTTTTCTCTTTTGAATTAATTGACAAGAGAAAGATGAAGATGAATCATATTGTGTAATATTGTTTTGAAATCTGATTATTTCAAATGATTCTTAGGGGAGTATTGTTAAGTGTTTGGGTAAGAAGGCTATGACAGAGGAATCTATGGTTGGACCTGAGTACAGCCTTTGGTACAATGATTGTTGGGGTCTTATTCCAACCTACTGATGTTAGGTATGCATGCAGTGATATCCTAACCCCTTTTGTTTGCTGGTAGTTCTCATGTTTTTTTTTCTCTTCTTCAGCACCCATTGCTTCTTCCTTTTTATATTCGTAGTAATATAAGTCCAGCACAAAGATGCCTTTTATTTCTCTGAACAAAATTTCCAGTACACTGTTTCCCATCAGAGGTTTAGTAAGGCCCAACAGCTTCGGAAGGATTTTTGACCAAGGTTTTCTCACATCCCAAAAACTTTGCCACACCTACTATTGCCATGCCACTTTTTTATCAGGTCACTCACTATTAGCCATTTGCCCTTTCTTTCTCTGCACCAAGTTCATACCAATCATCATTTGCCACAGATTCCTGCCTCTGTCTTTAGTGTTTGAGTGAAGAAAATCTACTAAAATCCAAAATTGCCATGGTACTCACCAAGGCAACACAATTACCTGATAAAATGGTATTGGCTTCAAAACATTTGTGATCCTAAACTCATATTGCTTTCGAAACACATTAGTTTATCTTCAATGTTGAGTCAGTAAATTCATATTTCTTTTAGAGAGTGTAATGACTTAACATATTGCACGTTGTCAATCTGTACCTCTCGACTTAGTGTGACAATGCGTTGAGTTGTGTAGTCAGGTTGTTTTGTTTTTTCTTTTTGTTTTTTTGTTTTTTTTGTTTTTTTTTTAGTGTCGGTAACCTTTTACAAAAGAAGCAACCAATTGTAGGTTGTCAAGGAAAAGAACATTGGTATGTGTGGCATTGTGTTTGTTTTTTGCCAGCCTCGCTGACCTGGTCAAACACCCATTCCTCATCACCATTTTGACACTTCAAATCCATTTTTAGATGTAACCTCGGGTATGGTGAAAGACCCAGCGGACGTCTTGGACAGGCAAAAATGCCTTGACGCTCTGGCTGCTCTGCGCCACGCTAAGTGGTTCCAGGTTCGGAACATCATTTTACTTTCTTTTTGTAGCCTTATGAGATGCATTATTTATTTGTTTATTTGTATTTTACACATTTGGTTTTTGTTTTATGATAATGAGGAAAAATATTACTATTTGAAGCAAAAAAACATATTCAAGGATGCCACTTATTACAACAAGGATCTGGTCAATGTTCATCACATGTATTGATTATAAATATAAGTTGATCTGAAGCTCTGACATGGAAAAAAAAATTCTCTAGCAAAGAACTGGCATCCTTGTATTCCTTTTTTCAATTTTCCAAGTACTGCATTATGGTTACATGTGATTCCATAAGGCTGCACAATAACTTTGCACAAAGTTGTGCCATCAAGAAGTGCTTTCATGTTCAACATTTGTATTGTTTTTATTCTATATATTTTTGTAGAATGGGGATTGAGAGAAAAAGGAATATCTGAGTAGTTTCCTGTGATTCTGCTACCTGAGCAAAAGCACAGGCAAAATAAAGTAGATTTCCTTGGCTCTTTCAGTCCCTATACTCTCCTCCCAGGTGGCCTCTTGTACTTTTTAAGTACCTGTTTGTGAGATACCTGGATAAACCTGGGGTCAGGGTTTAGAAGATGGCAAGAAAAGTCCTCATTTCTTGTGCATCTTGCAAACTTTGAACTCCCTTACTAACTGTGAGGTTCAAAACTACTGGGAATGGCAGCTGGTTGAAAATTCATACACACTTCAAACCATACTCAAGCTTCCATTATGCACAGTAGTGTTTGGACCTCTAAGACAGAACTGATTCACTTGTTTGGTCCATGTTTTGCCACTCTTGGTCACTCCATAAACCTAACTTTTATTACATCAAGGCTAGAGCTAATGGACTTCAGTCCTGTGTGATCATCATCCGAATCCTGCGAGACCTCTGTCAGCGAGTTCCTACGTGGTCGCCGTTCCCTGGATGGGTTAGTATATGTTATTTAAATATGCTAACAAAAAGTTTAAAGTCCTCTATAAACTGTAATGGGCTGTCCCTGAAAAGAGTTCACATAAATGAGAGAAATGAAATCTTGATTCAAAGTGGTGGTCCTAGGTTGAGCTTTGGTGACCAAAGACAGCCTGTATCAAAATTGTGACAGGTTCAGGACAAAAAAATTGATAAGATATTTCACCTGGAACTTTTTCAACCACAGTACAAGTTGTGATTTCTGAGCCATATTTTTTGCCTCTAAATGTGGCCCTGCTTTCTGATGACCCTGAAACTATTTAGGTGGAAGTCTGAGAACTTTACGACATGAAACTTCTGGCTCAACATAGGCCTGGGTCCTTGGGCCGAGTCTGGCCTATATACTTCCACATCTGGGCAAATTGCAGCTATCTTCCAGTATTGGCTGACAGTCAGAAGACCTTCTGTGCACACCAGAATTGAACCAGATGTGGAAGTAGCATGTGACAATCATGCTTATATATGGGCCAGATTTGGGCTTTGGAACCAGGCATATACTGAGCCAGAAGAGCATGTGGCCCAAGTATGGGCTGGATATGTTTTGCTATCTGAGTGAGGGGTGGGGTTCCTGTTGGGGGTTGGGCCACCCCTCAAGGCAATGGTATGGAAATACTAGTATCTACATCTCTGCAGACCCTGGTGAGGGTTAGCCCAAAAAAAGACTAAAATGTCCAGAGACTTGAGTGTTCACAAAAATTGAATTGAGTTCTACTTCTTTTTTGCTCCACCTTCTACCGAGCTTTATTATTGGTTAACCCCTTTGAGGCTCCGTCTCGTCAACCTCGTATCAACTGCGCTCCCATACAAAACTTTCTCAAAACTTCCTCAGAGCAGGAAACCACATAGAGCTGGTGATCCACCTAATCATGCAGCTGGACTTGCTAACAATTTTGAAAAGAGTACTCTGTAACCAAGTCAGCAGGTGCAGTATCAATCAAGGACTGCACACCTGTCAGTAGAACACATGACTGCGCTGTTACAGCTGACTTATTTGATGGAAACAGCTTTTAAGGTAATGGCAGGGAGGTTCATGTCACTCTTGTGAATGATGGCGGCGGCAGTTGTGTACCTGGGATTGCTACACATGAGAAACCGATTGGTGGTTTGTGTGTCCGCCAGGCTCGGAGTGATGTGGCCTGCTGTCTTTCCAGCCTTTAGGCTATGGTGCTGTTGCTTCACAGAACCTGGATGCAGTGGTTATCGGTCATTGTGTTGGCACTGGAGGGTCTGGATGTCAGATGGTTCCCAGATTTGGTTTGGATGTGGTTGGCCAAGACGTGGTCAATCCCAGACTTTCTGTAGGTGCTGAGTAAAGAAGGGGATGCCTTTTCCGTGAGTTCAGTCCATGGGATGGCGCCTCATGGTCTGGCAGTTGGGAGGAAGAGATTGAGAGAGAGCTGTGCCTGCCAGCTATAGTGATCTCCATGATTCTCTACATCCAGGGTTTATGGATCACCTTGACATGTATTTGCTGAGTGGTGTGAGTTTAGGGCCATCAACCTAAATTATTGCATGCTTCAAGGTGTGTTTGAGTTTCTGCAAGGATTGGTTGGGGCAGTTTCATGGCCACGGGCCATCCACTGGTCAAGTGTTTCATGCAAGGGGTCCGCAGGGCGAGCTCCATCCTTGTTTGTCTTGAACTGCTGGGTAGGCAGACCTTAAGTTGGTGTCAGTTAAGACTGAGCCCCTCCTGATGCTTTCTTCTGCTAAGAGTGCAGGGGACCCCTGTGTTTTATGGGTCGTCCCTCCTGCATCCTGTAAGCCTAAGGTCATCACTTCCTTCTGGTTGAGGCTCATTCAACTTTTTCTCCTTTACCTCACAGTAGTGAGGAGGAGAGGCGCTTTGACAACACTCTGCTGATACATGGACTGCACAGCTGGCCTGAGGAAGTCCAGTCAGCTGTTTGTCAGCTGTGGCACGTGGTGGAGTGTCTTAGCAAATTGCTCATTGGATGTGCGATGCAATCCACAGAAGCTATAAAGTCATGGCTCATACTCCCCTCGGTGTGCATTCCACTAGGGCCGAGGACACTAATAGGCGGGTCCAGGTCCAGATGCTGTCCTATCCAGAATCAGACCTATAACCTATAAATTATTGAGCGTTATTTAATTTTGATGGTGCATTTCTCTTTTAACTGGTATGCCTTTATTGCACTGGTCATAACGCCCCAGCTCCACCCCCACACCCTAGCCATTGCCTTCTGTGTTAGCTAATGGCAAAGCCTGTTGCCTGAGGGTGGAGCACTATGAGATAGAAATACTAGTTACTGGACATGACTCCAAACGAGCTCTAACTGTAGACTGAGCTGGCCCCCATTTGGTTTACATTGCTGAGTTTCAAAGGGAGACGAGCAGTTTTATCGGGGTCCAAAATGTGCGGTTGGTACCAGCTAATTTCGTGGTGAGTGCAGTGCAGAGCTCATTTGATGGCTATACATGTTTTTATAGCCAGAGGTCTGGACTCAAGTCATGTAACTTGGACCTCAGCCAGACTCGAGTCTTAAATGTGATGCCTTTTAGACTGAACATCTAAAGAGACTTGCAACTCAACTTGGACTTAAACACCAGTAACCTGTCATTTCACTTGGACTTGACCCTTTTAACTTGACCATACTTAATACCTTACACCAAAGTTTGAAAAGAATTTTTTAAATGAATATGCCACTATACAATCAATTTCCTGAATCAACTAATGTTACTGCAAAATTGAGACACCAGAACCAGCAGTTACACCAGTAGACTGTCGCTGGTTCCTTGGAGACACAGCACATCTGAGCTTTAACGCCAGTCAAAAACAAGCTTAATAAAACCAAAGAAAGGTAGTCATGTTACATCAGGGATATGGAAATGATTTGCTGTAACTTCTGTTAATAAGTGGGGACCGGAGGCTTCTCTGTGCGCAGCTGGCCAGTTAGCGTCTACCAATAGTCTGCATGTGAGGCATTTATGGGAAATCTGTAAATTGTAACTATATAAAACTAAACTGCATGAGTCTCTGCATATACATTGGTCACACAATGCACCGGCCACCACCACAATCCTCATCCTGTGAGAAACGCTGCTCTGTTGGGTACTAACAGTTACATCACAGCAAACCTGATCCAGCACCTGAAACAAAAGCATGTGGTGGAGTGGGAGCAATGCGTCTTTGAGATTCTGATCCTAGTTTCCAAAACTACAGGAACAAAGCAGCAAACTATAGCTGGTTAATTTTCCAGTGTCATCATGTATGATGAGACAGGTTATTGTTATTGTGTTATTTGTTGATTTTTGCATATATGGCGTATCGTTTAAATAAACTGTTTTTAAATGTTAAACGGTTACTGTAATCACAGTGTACTCCTGGTTTAAAAACTGAATAGTAATGAGATGTGAGTGTTGCCAGGTGTCTGAACTATCCTCAATGTTCATTGTGTTCAGGCCATGGAGCTGCTTGTTGAAAAGGCCATCAGTAGCGCCTCTGCCCCACTCAGCCCAGGTGATGCACTGAGACGGGTCTTTGAATGTATTTCGTCTGGGATTTTACTCCCCGGTAAGTTATCATTCACTGCTACATTTATGTTGTATTATTGGGATCTTGTCATGTCTTTCAGGCAAAAAAAATGCAGTTCTGTTTGTGGACAAAATAATAACTGAAAGGTTAGCTGTCTTTTGGCAGTAACGAAAACATAATATAATATTTAATATAATTCTCTTCAAGAAATCCTGTGCTTTGACAGAAATGGCTCAATTTTGGTTTTGCTAATGAGCCCTGGTGATCTAATGTGTCCATTTAATATGTAGGTACAGCCAGAACACATTAGCTTAGCTTAGCACAAAAACTGGAAACAGGGAAATTGCTAACCTTGCTTTGTCCCAAGGTAACAGAATGTGCTGACCTGCTGAGTTATATTAGAAAAGAAGTGCACCTGCACCTCAGAGCTCACTGAAAACGTATCCTGTTTGCTGAATCTGTTTGAAAAGTTCATTGTTGTGCAGGTTATGTGCTGGACTGTTCAGTTTTCTACCCCCAGCAGTTTGCTTTAGGTAACCATGTTTATCACTGGTTTGGATGAGGGGCACACCTACTTGCTGGTTTTACACATACCAGTTTGTGTTGCGTTGAAGGGAAGGTGGAACTGTCTGTAGTCTACAGCAGCTCACTTGGTACATTTAATATAGGGCCCATTTCCACAGCACTGATACAAATATCAATACAGCAGAGTTGTGTCAGACTCTTTCTCTGAGTTTCTCTATTTTAACATCATTTAATTCCAGTGATTGTGTTTTATGGTTGATGGAAGTAGGTAGTTTAGAATCAAAAACTACATTAAAAACTTGAGAGAGTTCAGTCTTACTGTAACCTATGATAAGTTATGAAATCCATCACTGTAGGGTTTTCAAAATGTGCAACGTCAATGACCACCTTAAAATTCTTAAAGTAAGTGTTGCAATGACAAGAAATGCCTCAGTGTAATATGTATATATTCAAACTTCCTTTAATTCTCATGGAGGACATGATGAGATGAAGGATTTTCCTTTAACAGGTGGACCAGGACTGGTGGATCCCTGTGAAAAGAAGCCTGTGGACACTCTGACGTCTATGGGAGAGCAACAGAGAGAGGACATCACCTCAAGTGCCCAAGTACAAGCTCTTACATTTATACATCAACTCTCCAGTCTAATTTCTTCATGTCTCAATTAGCATAACAGGCTTCAGGTGGTTTTAACTGGGAGAAATGAGGTTTCCTGTGGTTTCCACTGAAACACAAACTGAATTCTTCTTTGTGTTTCAGTTTGCTCTGAGGTTGCTGGCGTTCCGTCAGATCCACAAAGTGTTGGGCATGGATCCTCTGCCGCAGATAAACCCTCGCTTCAACATCCGCAACAGCCGCAAGCGTCGACGTGACAACAGTGATGGAACAGACAGCTTCGAGGGTGAAGGCAAAAAGGACAAGAAAGACTATGACAGTTTCTAAGCTCCTCCATTAATAATTTAAAGTAATCTACATACAAAAATGTACTAACGTGTTGTATGCGCTGTCTGCTGTGTAATGGCTTTTTTTTTTTTTTTTTCCTTTTTAAGCTACAGATGTACCAGTGTAACTGCAGCCTCACTCTGTATTACACAAACAAAAATGTCAACTTGTGGTTTAGTTGTAGATTTCTGTGCGAAGCTGAGGTTCACACCTCTTTGTACTAGATGAAGCAGTTTTTACCCGATGTGCTTCTTAAATAGAAGTTTTGATGAATGCCGCTGCTCCCCTCTAAACTGTGTTTGTTTGATTTTAAGTTGCAGGGGAAGGTAAAATCATAGCATCAAAACTGCAGCCACACTTCTGTGTTGTGGATCAGGAGGAAAAGTAATGATTAATGTCAATGCCTTCATTTATCTGTATAGTTGCTTTCAGAGGTGGACTGTTTTGTTGTTACTATTGTGAAGCATTACTTGGCCAACTGAATTTAAAGGGTCTACTTTTGAATATGTATTACTGTACCTGATGCCGTGTTCTTGTTATGTCCCAGTGCTACACTTGAGATAAAAGGTGGAAACATGAGGGGGATCAATGACGTCATTAGGATTCATCCTCTGGGGTACATGAGTGGCTGTACAGAGCTTGTTCCAATGCTATACTTCAGCTTAAAGACCTCTGGGGCATTGCACAAAGATTCAGAGGAACTTTAACTGTTGATGGATCTTTGTTCGTAGTGAAGTTGTCAGCCCTAAATGTAGTTTTGTCTTTTCATTTTCATATATATGAAAGTATTTGTATATTGTTTAGATAAAAGAGCTTTGATTTGTGGAAAACATGACCATGTTCACATTGTGTACTGTTATGGCTTTTTAATTTTATTTTCCTGGTTTAACAAGGATCTTTATTGGCTTGCTTGCCTTTTAACTAGGTTGGGTGCTAAATTTAATTCAATATTGGAAAAAAGAACAAAAATCACAACTGGCCATGGAGGGGAACAAGATGTAACTCCCTTCAGCGTAGTTCCTGTGGTGAATGACTGCCGTGCTCTGCCTTCTGCTTTGCACTTCCAATACTAGAATAAATACATTTCCAGATTGAACAATTGTGTATCCTGGTTTCTCGTGGTGTACAGTGTAAACACAATGTTTCAGGCTAGGTTAGCATCAAGGCTACTTTACCAACTAGTATTTTAAGTTTTCAGCTTCCTCTGTTGCAGCTCACAGATTTGTCACCAGCCTTAGTCAGCTGCATTCAAACCAGGACCTTGATGACCCCTAATGACCCTGCTACTTGTACAGCAGCTGGGATGTAAGTCAGTACCACATGGTTCATGTGCTGCACACTAGTTGCAGATTGAAATTTTTGCCAGCTGGTAAGAACCAAAAATAGAGTAACAAACTCTGTTAATACAGCAGCTTCTGCTGTGGCCCCAACCTTCTCGACAGGTTTATTTCAGCGTACCTGGAGCTTCAGTGTCTCATACCCTCCTGCTGATCCTGAAGGAGTCGTTGGATAGGTCGTTCCCTTTTCTTGACATAACAGTATCAAAGCTCAGATCCGTGTTTGGAGGCTGATAAAAACACGTCCCATTTTCTCAGTACACAGCGACAGTTTATTCCAAAATAAAATGTAACCTCTGATTTAGTTGTGTGTAGAAAATAGTGTTTGTTTGCCTGTCTGGTTCCCGGACTCAAAGCGATGCTGCACTTGTCTGGAAGTGTGGTTTGTAAACCTTCATCGATGCAGACTCTATGTTGGAGGCTTCTTAACTCACTCCGACGCAGGGCTGTAAACTAACTTTTTGGCTCACCTGCCAAGGGGACCGGTAGATGAAAAAATCTACCGGCCAAGTAAATTTTTTTACCAGCCAAGTAATAAATTGCCTCTTTTTGTTACATATACATCTGTTTCAGTACTTTTCATTGAGATAACAGAATTATATAACGATATATATTCAGAAAAGAGCCAAAATATTATTCAAAATACATTTTTAATCTTTTGAATATTCAAAACATTGCGAACATGGACAGTGCCAGTACCAGTTAACCTCCTGTTCTGATAACAAATGATAACAAAATTCAAGGAAAATTAAAAAAAAAAAAATCAGAACTCATCATCACTGTCTTCAGCAGACACCCTCTTCGCACGGTGAAAACAGTGTGACATTTGCTTCCTTCGTGCTCTCGGATGGTCTCGAGTTTCATCGTTCACAAATGAATTGGTGCGCTGCTTTTCTTTAGCATATTTTCTACAAACTGAACAAAACATGATACCCGCAGCAATGTTTTGCTATATTGTGACAAACATTTACCTGCCCCATGGCATGTAGCCCTCCAAAATTAAGTCGCCAGGGGAATATTTTAGTCGCATTTGGCGAGTGGCGACCGTTAGTTTACAGCCCTGCTCCAACGTAAGGGTCATCAGTTAAGACGACTCTCAACTGGTGGATGCTTCACACCAACGCACAAACGGAGTGAGAGTGGGTAGGGCGACGGGGTAGTGTGTAATATCTCAGAAACCATTTGTGGGACTATCTTCAAATTTTGCACAAACATTCACTTTGACTCAATAATGAGCCACTTCGATTTTTGTCGTCAAAGGTCTCAGTGACCTAATGTCTGTTCCTGTCTGTATGTGTGAATGCAAATAATCAGGACCACCTGGGGGGAATTCCAGTACATTTGACACAAATGTCCACTTGGATTTAAGGATGAACTGATTAGAATTTGGTGGTCAAGGTCAAGGTGACCTCACAAAAAGTTTTTGGCCATAACTCAAGAATTCATATACTAATTACAACACAAATGTCTAATAGGATAAAATGATAAAGTGATGACATTTTATATCAAAAAGGTCAAAGGTCAACTTTACTGTGACATCATTGTAGTGCCTCAAACTTCTCAAAATAGTCGTTGAGACCGCATGCTGTTTTGTAACAAAGACAAAATAGGACCATTAAACTCAGATTCCCAGGATCCTTCACCTTTTCACACCCAGGTGTGACTAAAGAAAACGTGAAAATGTAAGTATAAACACAGCTCACTGGTGATTAGGAGCCATGTAGCCTACCTGGCCTGGCATCAGTCACAAGCCATTAAAGAAGTTCATTGGAAGGACATGGAGAGTTGTGGACCCAAAATTGACACTTTGTTACACTTCCCACCATAAAACTATCAAATTGATAGGAAACAGAGACAAAGGATCCTTCTCTCACAAACAGACCATGCTTTTAACATGTCAGAGGGAGGTACAACCAGATCATGTAGACTTTAAGACAATGTCTTTCATGATTATTCATTTAATGTTTTATAGTCATGGTGGAAGACGGATATGTGACTTTATAGGTGAACTCTAGAATTAAACTATTCAAAGTTCAGTGGAAAATTACCCTCTTCTCCAAGTTGAAACAAAGGAGAAGATGGGTTAAGTCCTTGAGACGTGCGCCAGCCCCCAGGGGATAAAAACCTTGCGATAAACTCACACATTGCTCTAAACTCTAAGCTCTTAGCCACAAGCTCTTAGCTCCTAGCTCCAGCTCCAGCAAGCTCCTTAGCATCAAGCTTTTGGCCACGGCTCTTAGCTATTTTGCACTTTATCGTTTTGTCTGTGTCCTTTGTTCTTTCTTTGCCACATGCTCCAATTAACATTCTTTTTGTCTACATGCGCAATCTTTCATTTTTATAAACCAAGTCAACACCAACTGAACCAAAACAGCAGAAGTGGCTCAGAGTAATTTTTGTAACTTTTTAATTATCACGTTTTCATTTCTGAAGATTTTTGACAGTTTTAGAGTCATCTGATCAACCTCAGTCTCCTCTAAAGTTATCCAGCCAAAGTGCATTAGAGTTTATTTCGCATCAACCCACAAGAGACGCCAGCAGATAACACATCTACCCACGACCGCCTGCAGAGAAGGCTACCAGAAATCACCAGAAGCCATCTGGGTTCCAGCCAAGGGTCTCTAGCTACAGCGCAACTTACAGTAGGCCAGTCTTAACATTCTGCTCATGACTGGGTTGATGTCGAAATATAATATCGAAACATCAAATCTCATCTGTAGACGTAGTGATCATTAGCTATATAGCCACGGTGTATAGCCATAACATATTCATTCCCATCATTTCCAACTCATTACAGAACTCATTTCATTATTATTTTCATCTTTATGATCATTGATGTCGCATTTACTCTGTAGATAGTTTTCTTTTGACGTAGAGACTGGAGATCCATTGAATCAAGAAATTATGGCTTCTGATATGAGATTGATAACATTAATCAATGAAATAATTCATTGTTGTCCTCCTTGAGAACTGGTGCCAGCTTTGAATGAGAGCAAATTCTAAATTGTGGTGTTCACACTACAGCAAGAACTGTCGTTATTTGACCTGTGATGGTGTGATGATGAATTCCAAGTCTGTTTTCATCAGATCTGATCCAACACAACTGTTTTATTTACCATCATGGATGGAAAAGAAAAATGTAAAATCACGTCCCAAACTCACATTATGATGAAAATGTTTTGGCATTATCAAGGTAAAGTGATATGTCCCAAAGTGCTGTCCCATTCCTCTTTACACCATTTTTAGCCCTTGCAGATACTCAGATAGACTGAGTAAATGTAAAATGAGTTCAGGAGTTAAAATGAAGCCTTTTGATAGAATTTTTTGAACATGACCATAAAAATTCCCAAACCCAACAGGCATGGGCCAACAACACAGGATTGCAGAGTGACTCACCTGGAGGCAAGAGGATAACTGAAGAAGCCCTTTGGAGAGAGGTGAAACAGTTTCCGATGTCTACAACCAAGTCCAGTTGTGCTTGTTTCAACTTCTCTTGGATAACGATAACTTAGATGACTGAGAATCTTCACAGACATTAATCAGGCATTCGTCTTTATTAATCATGTTGTGGCTGAGGAAACCAAACAAAACATTTTCCCAATTCAGAGTGAAAACAATGAATTCTGGGAATAACAAAGGCAGACGAATCCTTCTAAAAATGAGCAGTATTAATGATTTTAACAAATCTTATGAGATAATGGCTAGGGGGATAAAATATCTGAATCTTTTTTTAGATGTTTCTTTTATTTTAGTATTGATCACATTTGTTGGGTGATGACCAGACTTTTTGTAGCAAATGTTGGGGACAAGATTACAGAGGACAACCTGATTTGGCCACTACGCCTAAATGGTCTGACAGCCGAGCACCATCTGTTGGGGGCTGTATTGAGAACACATGAGGTAATGTCCACCTGGGCCGTGGAGGTGTGGACTTGTGAAAGACAAAGTTTGCATTTCTCACCAATGTAATTAAAAAATTATATTTTGCACTTTGTATGGTCTGGCTTTGTATAACCTTGGACATGACTCTGTCCTCACATTGATAATCCTTATTTGGTACTATGAATCTGTCTTCACATGTAAACTCCTTATCTGGTACTATCCGTTACAAACTTTGGGATTCTTGTCCCAAAGCACGCAGCTGCTCCTTTATGACAGTTAGACAGTTTTGATGTATCAAAGATAGATATCAGTCTGTGTGAGTGATCCTTTGCAAAGCTCTTATTAAAATATATCAAGACAACTTGATCATTTTGTCAACTTTTCATTTTCAGATTTCCATCACACCAACCAACAGCGATATGGACTTTGAGCCTGGCTCAAAGACCTTATAAATTCCTAGGAATGTTATGAGGTCACTTTATGATTTTTTCTGGCTCATATACAGCAGGATTGTCAGATGCTACTTCCACATCTGGCCCAATTCTGGCACGCACAGAAAACCTTCAGGCTGTATTGCATTGTTCAATGTTACAGCAGCATTGAATATAAACGATACAGCTTTTTTAAGCA